CAGGATCTTTGGTTCATGCTGTTTTTAAGAAACTGAGTGTGCTGCACCAGGCCTTATGTTGCATTTGGCACGATATTCGAGCTGTATAGGCGTAAAACCTATCATAAGGTTACTGAAAACTCTTCGACAGTTCACGACCGGTTTCTCCCTTCTTGAAACTTATCAGGTAGGCTTAAAAACATCATAAATGTGAGATTCAGCTGGGTTCCAAGGGATTTTCCAGCAAAACCAAATTGGTTTGCATATGAGTTTAATTCGCCAGCCAACTATGTTCTTTTCATCTACAGAAAGGACACACCACTTGCCAGATTCCCCTCAATCTTTGGTAATTACACCTACCAATAAGATGGCCGCTCTTTGTTTCGACGAATTCCTGTTCGTCGAGTTGCTTTATCACATTGCAGATACTCTCCGTACCAGACATTGCAGTATATTTTCATGAGAAAAAACTACCGAGGTATTGCGGTTCATTTGCGTTCCTGGTGGGACACAAGCAAGCATTAATTTGTCAGGTCTAAAATAGGACAAATAGGACCAAACTGTGACCATTGTTCGGTTGGCAAAAACTGTTGTTGAAATACCACACTGTCATCAGTCCGTCAGTGAACTGGGCCCACGGTTCATCGAAGTCACGGAGTGGAATCAAGGAAAAAGTAGACAAATTTCAGCCAATAAGGAAAGGTTTCCACCTTTCTGGAAGTAAGTTCAGTGGCTTAGCCTGAACTACTAAGATGACCTTGAAAATTACATGAATTTCATATGTAGTATGCATGCAATGGAAGCACCAGGGGACAGTGATTCTCCTTGAGGCAGGTGTTCACGACAATTTCTGTGGATGGAAAACAGAAACAAAGCTCGTGCGCCAAACCCAAGTAAGCACGGTTGTACATCACCAATACTTACGTATAAATCAATCAAAGTGACAGACACCGTACACTACACATGCACAACAACAAATGTCGTTAGACATAGTCAGTTCTGTTTTTTTCTCAAAGTATTTTTTTCATCAGCCATCCACAAGTGACATTGCCGTTACACCCTGAACTGAATAGAAAAGAAAGTTTTCTCTGTCTTGACCCACCTAACAGTAAAAACCTAATACCTTGGAGTCTGTAAAGCAGTGGTTCTCATCAACACTGATATACTCGCAGTCCTCACGAGAAAGCACCATCTCGTGAAAGGTAAACTATTCCATCCTTGCCTCCACTGTAGACTGAATTCCATTCACACAACACTACGATTAAGGCTTGAACTGTTGGTGAGCTCCAGTAAGATTGGAAACAGAGTTCCTCGCTTCTTTCAGTGTAGACCAGCAGCAGGAAGAAAGACCGTTTGGGGGCAAGCACTGTGAACACCCACTCAAAAACTCCATCCACCAACTACAAATTCCCGGGTAATTTGGTGTTATTCACAACCAAAACCGAACGATGGTACTTCCTTTCTCTCTCTCAGGCGGACATAGTAAACTGGAGCTCAGAACGTTCATCATCACTCTTATTCCGGCGTCCATTCTCACTGAGTGATTCCGTCTGGGGTTCCATCACATCTGGCAGCCAACAAGGCTATGAGCTGGTCCTACGCTACAATCTGTCTCGGAACCACAACGATGCATGTGGAAAGTTGAATCCCCTTGTAGGCTGTTTCCGCAGATCGATACTATTCGACACTACAAACTTACAGAACGTGCTAAACTCCAGTTTATCTTCATTATCATTGATGACCCTAAATATCAGTGATTCAATATATCATCAGCAAAGGTGGAAACAAATGAGCGAGATCTGTCACTCGGGGCCACTATAAGAATTATAAGAATTCAATATGAATTTTCCGGCGTGTCAATCACTACATACAAGCAGCCGGGTAATAGGTGGAGTAAGAGAACACTCCTCATGATAGGCAGCTATGCTGCAAGACAATACCGTCATTCCGCATTGGGGTGATGTAGATGATGCAAGCAGTTTTGTCCCACGACAGCTAATCCCATTTTCACACGAATTTGTTTTGTCTGCTTCTCGGTGTGTCCTGTTTATACGTAGAATAAAGTTTACAAATAATTCCGAGTCAGCGCGCTTCCGGTGACTTTCCATAACCCACTGTTCAGACGTGCTGTCAGACGCTTTCAGGCTGAGTAAAATACAACTATTTGCAGTTGCCGTGAACAGGCATTTTGAGTAAATCCCACCTGTGTTTATCGTTTGTGATTTTCTTCAAATATTCCAGTTGGTGAAATCTTTGAGTTTGCGCAGTATGTCTGCATTACGTAGCACACTACTCCGAAGACTGTTGGAAACCTTTGTGACGTACTACTCATAAGGTTGCTGAAAATAAGTCGACAGCCCACGACCGGTTTCGCCCTTTTTGGGGCTCATCAGGTAGGCGCAGTCTCATCTGCCTGAAAATATCACAAACGAGAGGTTCAGCTGGCTCGCTAACTGCTGGAAATCCTTCAACAACTCACAAGTGGTTTTCGTCCTTTTTAGGATGATCAGGTAAGCGGTGGACGATAGTGCAACTCAGTATCGGTCCCTTGGCTTCCTGTTCCACCCACTCTGGTATGTCGAAAGGCGCGGTGGTTCTACACAGCCCTTTTTGGAGACAGGAAAATTATTACAACTGTATTTATAGGGTAGTCACAGAGTGCTCCACAAGGTCGTGCCAGAATCTCCGTGAGGGGGCGAGAAGCGTC